ACCATGGTAAATCTTGGGAATATCATCACATAGATGGATGGATAGATAGATAGATACTTTATTGATCCCCATAGGAGAAATTCAGGTGTACAGTAGCAGCAAAAATAATAAATAAAATTGATAATTCTAAAAAGAACAATAGTTTTAATAGTTATAATAAGCCACAGCCCTTCAGGTCACAGCAGGTCATTTTATCAGATATTTTCAAATAAAGATTCCACTAAATCAATTAATTTTTGATTATTTACCAGCAGTCTTTGTGAAGGCTGTCACAGAATTGTTGATTTCCCAACAACAGATTGGAAAATCAAACTAATAAAAAAGTAATTGGCCCATGAAGACATCCAAGTTAACCATTGTACAGACAGACAAACAGGCTGGGGCTGACGGCAGAACAGAGGTGGTAGAACCAGGCCTAAGGTCGTAGATGAGTCCAGGACTGTGTCTAAATCTGTAAAAAATGTGTACTTTATTGTAGGGAAGTTTGTCCTCCGCATTTGACCCATCCTGATGCCACTTGGGCCTCTGTCAGTAACAGTGGCTGCCGTAGTACAGCGCCCGGGAACCCATCTACAGATGTTGTTGCTCGGCTTGGTCAGGATCGAAGTTGGAGGATTTTACCTATAGTGCATGTTTTTAGTGGTAGGGGAAACCGGAGCAGCCGGAGGAAACCGGAGCACCAGCAGGAAACCCACAGGGAGAACATACAAACTCCAATCAGAAAGACCCTTTTCCAATAGAGTTTCAAACCCAGGACATCTTCTTGCTGAGAAGCAAGAGTGCTATCCTTTCAGCTCAGCTGCTTCTGACTGGTTCTCACTGGAAACACTACTTTATTTTATCACTGATATTTGCTTGAAGATGACTGTTGTTGTGATTTAGTCTTGTCTAGGGGGTATGGAGATTACCCCGGCCCTATGTATGTGACCCTCCTCTGGTCTGATAAGACTCTTGCCCCGTGCATTCCGGGGAGAGGCGGCCCAAAGAAGTGACAAAACTCTCACAGCTCCATTTTGAAACTCTCTTCCAAAGAAGGTTGCATGGGGAGAATGTCATCTCTATGCTCTCTTGGCCCTCCAGGGGAAAATGGAGGGCTGAGAGGCCTGACCGTCTATACTCAAATGTCAAACCTCAGCTCCAGGTTTGAGAGGACTTCCACAACTCTTCTATAGCCTCCAGCTGCAACATGGAGAAGTTGCTGGACTGTGGCTCCCAGATGGTGGATTGTGGGAGGACTTGGTTTTGCCACATGATGCAGCCGCATGGTCCAGGTCCCAGGAACAAGGGCTCGCCTCCATTCATCGCCATCAAGACCCAACAAGGACCTCCATCAACCTCACCTCGAAGTCACATTCTGGTTGAATAATAAGCTCTTGCTCCACACAGTTGTTGACTTTTATAAAATCTACACTTCAAACAAAGAACACTTAGTCTCTTACAAAGGCTGCAAACACATTATGGACATTTCGGCCTTGCTTTTGCCTTATCTCACCTTAGGAGTAAACCAATTATCTTGCAATCAGCATTTCCTTCATGTTATTCTTTGTAGGGTAATAATATCACAGTAAGCTATAAATTGTAAGAGAAGAATAGTGCGGCTAGTCTCCAAGTCAGAGGCTGGCCGTCCTATTCGAGTGGGGGATCTGCTTTTAATTTTTAGGGCACCAGCAGTTACTTCTGCACAGATCCAAACTAACTTTGCCTCGAGTCAGTCTTATAATCAAAAGGTAGTGAATGCGTATATCAGCCAGAGATACCCAGAACTTAACAACACGACTCTGATAGGATTGAGTTAAAGAAAAGGGGTTTTATTGACTACAAAATGACGATAGAAATTAGCGGGTGAGTCTCAGAGTGTCCAGGGACAGGAATGCCCGGGATTGAGAGCAGATGGATGATCTCTGATCTCTGCCAGGCAGAAAGGCACAAGATATTTGTTCTGGGGCTCAGTTTATGGCCTTGGTTGACACTTATGGTCACGGTGACTGATGATGTCCTCTGGTTGACCTGGTCGTCTCTTAGATGTGCGTCAAGATGGGTCATGCTCGGAGGGCATGTTTACACATCTTGGTTTGCTGGTCAACGTCCGACTAGCTGTCCTTTAATTCACCTTACATCTTGACAATTTGCATATTTCATATCTAATCTGTATTGTACATACTGCTTTAAATCTACAAAACCGTCTTTGTCTGAGAGTGATATTTGTGCTGATTTACAGTGCCTTGCGAAAGTATTCGGCCCCCTTGAACCTTTCAACATTTCGCCACATTTCAGGCTTCAAACATAAAGATATAAAATTTGAATTTTTTGTCATGAAGCAACAAGTGAGACACAATCGTGAAGTGGAACAAAAAACTGAAAAGTGGGGCGTGCAATATTATTCACCCCCTTTACTTTCAGTGCAGCAAACTCACTCCAGAAGTTCAGTGAGGATCTTTGAATGATCCAATGTTGTCCTAAATGACTGATGATGATAAATAGAATGCACCTGTGTGTAATCAAGTCTCCGTATAAATGCACCTGCTCTTTGATAGTCTCAGGGTTCTGTTTAAAGCGCAGAGAGAACCATAAAGACAAAGGAACACACCAGGCAGGTCCGAGAAACTCCTTGTATGTGATTGGACTTGTCCGTTATCTTGAATGAAGTCTGCTTTCAACCACTCACATCGAAGCACACGGCTCCCATAGGTTGCCAAATCCCAGCAAGATTTTCCAACCCAAAATCCGCGAGAATACCCCAAAAAAAAAAAAAATACCTCAGAATGATTTTTTGGCTAAAAACGTAATGTAGTCAACCTGGGCTATCATGATTCTGTTTATTGTCTTTCTGTTTATTTAATACCTACAAGTCTCTTGGAAAAAAATATTGGGAACCACCAAACCTGGCAACCCTGCTGCATAGTGTGTAAACAGGAACACTGAACCAGTGCTTCAACCAAACATTACAGGAACATTTGAGTCTTAAAACACACATATCAACATAGAACCATCTACATCTTGCCTCAAATTGCATTAAAAGTGACATCCGTGTCTTTATTCGATCGTATTTACTCTTTTAAAAAGATTCACGGACTTTACGTCCGCCATCTTGGATTCCTCTCGCTGCTGCATGAGAGAAGCTTGAGAAGGCAGTACAAACCCCACGTAACACCGGCAATCCTGATTGGTCGATTAAAAAATAATCTGGGGAAGGCGGTCGCTATGGCGTCGATACCAGACCCATGTGGTTCAGCCAAACGCCTCTGGTGGAGCATGGCGGAACTACAAGGGTCTGGCAGAGCCAGGCTAGCCAAGAGGCCCATGATCACTCTGGATGAACTGCAGATAACTACAGCTGAGGTGGGAGAGTCTGTCCATAGGACAACAATCAGTCGTGCACTGCACAAATCTGGCCTTTATGGAAGAGTGGCCATTGAGAAGCCATTTCTCAAAGATATCCATAAAAAGTCTCATTTAAAGTTTGCCACAAGCCACCTGGGAGACACACAAAACATGTGGAAGAAGGTGCTCTGGTCAGATGAAACCATATGAAAAACTATATGTTTGGCGTAAAAGCAACACAGCTCATCACCCTGAACACACCATCCCCACTGTCAAACATGGTGGTGGCAGAATCATGGTTTGGGCCTGCTTTTCTTCAGCAGGGACAGGGAAGATGGCTAAAATTGATGGGAAGATGGATGGAGCCAAATACAGGACCATTCTGGAAGAAAACCTGTTGGAGTCTGCAAAAGACCTGAGACTGGGACGGAGATTTATCTTCCAACAGGACAATGATCCAAAACATAAAGCCAAATCTACAATGGAATGATTCACAAATAGACGTATCCAGGTGTTAGAATGGCCAAGTCAAAGTCCAGACCTGAATCCAATCGAGAATCTGTGGAAAGAGCTGAAGACTGCTGTTCACAAACGCTCTCCATCCAACCTCACTGAGCTCGAGCTGTTTTGCAAGGAATAATGGGCAAGAATTCCTGTCTCTCGATGTGCAAAACTGATAGAGACATACCCCAAGCGACTTGCAGCTGTAATTGCAGAAAAAGGTGGCGTTTCAAAGTATTAGCGCAAGGGTGCCGAATAATATTGCACGCCCCACTTTTCAGTTTTTTATTTGTTAAAAAAGTTTAAATTATCCAATACATTTTGTTCCACTTCACGATTGTGTCCCACTTGTTGACAAAAAGTTTAATTTTTATATCTTTATGTTTGAAGCCTGAAATGTTGAAAGGTTCAAGGGGGCCGAATACTTTCGCAAGGCACTGTAACTCCAGAAATTAGGTTACTGATTTGTAAAAGGATTCACGCCTTCAGAGTCTATTGAAGAAAATTGGATTTATAGCTACATAAATAATTAATGACTCATATGATTACTGAATCAATAAATGAGCCAATTAATAGACGACGTGACACGCACGTTATCAGTGGTGATTTGTTCACTGGTGCCCCGAAATAAAGCTATTATCAATTATTGTATTGTATGATTGTTTTCGGCCCAATTCTCTGATATCAAAGAATAACCTACGTTTTGTGTGATAGCGAATTCAATAACCCCTACACTTTGTGGTAAATAGTGACCTATGTACTGCACAGGTGGACAAATGCAAGACAAAATAGTATTAATAACCTGGCCTTGTGGAGGTCTCAAGGACCACAGAGACTTTCGTTGTTTAGGCTATGTGGTGCCGAATGTTTGGCCTTTTTAATGATGACGTAAATTTCCATATATAATGTATCTGTGTCTTTTGTTCTGTCTGAAATTAACGACCATTTTGTGAATAAACCAGCCAGGAGGCTTTGTCGTACAAAGATCCCATTTTGCCTGAGTCTGATTCCTATCAACTTGTACAAAAAATATATATATAATTGATAAAAAAATAAAAAGGTAAATCCATGCCTTTAAAGCAACTATGAAAGAGTACAGACAGAAAAAAGTTGCCTAGTAAGTTTTCTAAGTCTAAAGGACATAAAAATGGTGACCACCGGTATAGAACAGGACTCACAGGGCTCTGTGAGCAGGCTTTTTGCTGCAGTCTGGGCTCCAATGTCACTGATGGCTCCCTGGAGAAGCACTCCTCCCCCATCAGCACAGAGCCAAAGACAGCTCAGCAACCACCCCACTCTTGAGTTTCTCCTGAGAGCAGAGAGACCTGTCCGACAGCTTCACACAAAGGCTTACAAGCCGAGCTCCCACACCCCGTCTGTGGGTTAAGGAACTCAGTTAAGGTCCTGAAGGACAAATCCTGAATCATAAAGAGCCGTGTAAGTAATGATTGGTGAATGAACTCGTCATTCTCAACAAAACAATGCGTCTGTGTGCCGTGTTCTTTTCAGGTCAAACATTCACAGTATTTATTTGAAACGCCAACTCATACCTGACAATTAATTAAATAAAGGAATCAGACTCAGGCTGGGTAGATAGGTAGGTAAAAGCGTCTGCTACTGAAATGTTAGCAAGCCTTTTCTTTCTTTTCGTAAAGTCCTTAGTGTGAGGCCCTTTATTCATCTCTTCACGAGGAATCCAAAGTATCCATTGAAGGTTTCGCGATTCGATCGGTTAGAAAACTTAAAACAACACATGCAAAAGGCAGATTCAGACACGCTGCTCCAGTAAACAACTAGCTCGGCTGACCACCACTTTGTGATACCTATATGTAATGAGGCAGACGTGACGTCAATTGCAAGCAAGCAATACAAGATACAAACTAAAGAGTCTGCCATCCACTGAAATGCCCAAGTCTGACAAGTTACACCTCATAATATACTCACATATTTACAATGTAAATGAATGCTGTGAATGGTATGTTATATTTTTAAATCATCAAACAGAATGTGTGAAAACTTGCACAGTATTAACACATTGTTAGTTCTATACTCAACAAAAAATATAAACGCAACACTTTTGTTTTTACTCCCATTTTCCATGAGATGGATTTAAATATCTAAAATTCATTCCAGATACACAATATCACCATTTGTCTCAAACATTGCTCACAAATCTGTCCAAATGTGTGATAGTGAGCACTCCTGCTTTGCTGAGATAATCCATCCCACCTCACATGATGTGCCACATCAAGATGCTGATCTGACATCATGATTAGTGCACTCTGAAATGTGCATTATTTAGCTTTATTTGGGGTCTGGGGACTCAGAACCAGTCAGTATCTGGTGTGACCACCATTTGCCTCATGCAGTAAAACACATCTTCACATAGAGTTGTCAGATTGTCAATTGTGGCCTGTGGAATGTTGGTCCACTCCTCTTCAATGGCTGTGCCAAGTTGCTGGATATCAGTGGGAACTGGTGCATGCTGTTGTATACGTATACGCCGGTCAAGCACATCCCAAACATGCTCAATGGGTGACATGTCCTGTGAGTATGCTGGCCATGCAAGAACTGGGACATTTTCAGCTTCCAAGAATTGTGTACAGATCCTTGCAACATGGGGACGTGCATTATCTTGATGAAACATGAGGTGATGTTCATGGATGTATGGCACAACAATGGGCCTCAAGATCTCTGTGCATTCACAATGCCATCAAAAAAATGCACCTGTGTTCTTCGATCATAATAGATGCTTGCCCACCACCATGGGCCACTCGATCCACAACATTGACATCAGCAAAGTGCTCACTCACACGACGCCACACACACTGTCTGCCATCTGCCCTGAACAATGCAAACCTCTCCAACGTGCCAGACGCCATCGAAACCTAATATTAATTGTCATGCTGGTCATTTTTTTCTCTTTCAACTTTTACCATTTCTACTCACTTTGGTGTAACAAGGGTAAAATGCAGTGGGGGCGGGTCCAGGCTCAAAGGTGGCCAAAACGACGTGCGCTAACATGCTTGCAATACCACCCCGGGCCAATGGGGGTGGACCCGGAATGAGAATTAGCCAATGCTAACATATTGCATTAGGTGACCTCTCAAAAACGCCTTTACAGGATGGTCCAAAAGTTGGCTCTTCGCCCAAAGCTCCGTTCCACATGTGTGTAAATGCTGAGGGGAGTGAATTATTTTGGACCACTCCACACCACATTTTTGAAGACACTTGTTCAAATGAATTGAGCTGCGCCGACTGACGCATGCGCAGATGCGTTTTTTCACAATTTTCTTGTGGGCAGGACCACTCACGGCCATTTTGGATAGCTCCAGTAGGGCACAATTTTTGGCCCATTAGTTTGACCGGCGGAGATAGGCATGACTACGTCCGTTAATATATACAGTCTATGATTCCACCCAAGTGACATGGTTCAGCTCAAGTTTCAGACCACATAGCTGTATTTGAGCCAGCACAGCCTGTAAGTTTGTGTTGTTTGCCTGTTAGCACTTGAGTAGGCTTGCATGTTATTTTTTTTCCCATTTGGATTGTTCCGGGGTTGTGTTTAACCTCAAATGCTAGCACCGTATGCTAGCGCCGTTTATATGCTACCGCTAACATTAGTATTAGTCTTGTATTTGTTCAGCAGCACCTTTGACAGTGTTACATGTTTATATTATGTTGTTTGAAGGCAAAACTTCAGACTGACTTTCTCTATACATACAGTGCCTTGCGAAAGTATTCGACCCCCTTGAACCTTTCAACATTTCGCCACATTTCAAGCTTCAAACATAAAGATATAAAAATTAAATTTTTTGTCATGAATCAACAACAAGTTGGACACAATCGTGAAGTGGAACGAAATGTATTGGATAATTTAAACTTTTTTAACAAATAAAAAACTGAAAAGTGGGGCGTGCAATATTATTCGGCCCCTTTACTTTCAGTGCAGCAAACTCACTCCAGAAGTTCAGTGAGGATCTTTGAATGATCCAATGTTGTCCTAAATGACTGATGATGATAAATAGAATGCACCTGTGTGTAATCAAGTCTCCGTATAAATGCACCTGCTCTTTGATAGTCTCAAGGTTCTGTTTAAAGTGCAGAGAGAACCATGAAGACAAAGGAACACACCAGGCAGGTCCGAGATACTGTTGTGGAGAAGTTTAAAGCCGGATTTGGATACAAAAAGATTTCCCAAGTTTTAAGCATCTCAAGGAGCACTGTGCAAGCAATTATATTGAAATGGAAGGAGTATCAGACCACTGCAAATCTACCAAGACCCGGCCGTCCCTCCAAACTTTCATCTCAAACAAGGAGAAGACTGATCAGAGATGCAGCCAAGAGGCCCATGATCACTCTGGATGAACTGCAGATAACTACAGCTGAGGTGGGAGAGTCTGTCCATAGGACAACAATCAGTCGTGCACTGCACAAATCTGGCCTTTATGTGGCAAGAAGAAAGCCATTTCTCAAAGATATCCATAAAAAGTCTTGTTTAAAGTTTCCCACAAGCCACCTGGGAGACACACCAAACATGTGGAAGAAGGTGCACTGGTCAGATGAAACCAAAATCGAACTTTTTGGCCACAATGCAAAACGATATGTTTGGCGTAAAAGCAACACAGCTCATCACCCTGAACACACCATCCCCACTGTCAAACATGGTGGTGGCAGCATCATGGTTTGGGCCTGCTTTTCTTCAGCAGGGACAGGGAAGATGGCTAAAATTGATGGGAAGATGGATGGAGCCAATTACAGGACCATTCTGGAAGAAAACCTGTTGGAGTCTGCAAAAGACCTGAGACTGGGACGGAGATTTATCTTCCAACAGGACAATGATCCAAAACATAAAGCCAAATCTACAATGGAATGGTTCACAAATAGACGTATCCAGGTGTTAGAATGGCCAAGTCAAAGTCCAGACCTTTGAGATTACACAATAACATGCACAAATAATTCAAGAAAGACAACAAAAAAAAAAGGCTCAAAAGGAGAAGGCCGAAGCAAAAGCTTATATGTGCCTTCCCCATTATCAATTAATTCATTTAAGCGGCTACAAAATATTTAAAATTTCACATTTTCTGATTTTTGCCATCATCATTTTTATCTTGTTGATGCAAACAAACAAAAATATCAGCAATGCTTATCAAATTATTTTCCATCCAGTTCATCGCAATAATAAATGTAATCATTGTTTTTACAACATGTGGTGCATTCAGAGCTGTAGCCCCCTCTGTGTCTGGAAACTGTTCTGTATAGTGCATTAAAAAAACAAGGCTTTATTGACCTATTGGAGGGAGGGGTCCTCTACCCAACAGACCCACACCATTTCTACCCTCATTCTCAATTTGTCAGAGCAGCTGGAGCGATGATACAAGAGGAACTACCAAACCAGATTTTTGTTGAGATAATTTCTCAAACTGACCTCAGAATGGAGATTTTGGTAGAATCAGGAATGATAAGTGACTGAACCAGAGAAAGAAAAGAAAAAAAACCAAAACAACACATATATGCACACACATACATTCACATATACATATATATACATATACACATATACACATATACATATACATACATACACATACACAAACACATAAATATATAAGATATGCATTAATGAACTTGCATACACATAGATCGAGTTTTTCCCAAAAGGGCATCATTCTAAAGTTTTATAGGTATCAATTACACTTGCTTTATACTTTTTTTTGACACTAACACTTTTATGGATGTGGTTACCTTTAACTCGTTATCGAGTTTGTTCCATAAATCAACTCCTCTAAATGAGATACAGTGGTTTTTAATATTAGTCCTGGTCTTGGGTTTATGGTACAAATCCTTCCCTCTGATATCATAGTGCGGTTCTCTCAGTGTAAATCTCTCCTGGATACAATTTGGAACCATATGATGATGAATTTTGTACATCAGTGCTGCAGTATTTAGTTTGACTAAGTCTTGTAATTTTAAGGTATTCAATCTGATGAATAGTGAATTTGTTTGCGCATAATAATCTACACCATTTACTATTCTAATTGCCTTCTTCTGCAGTATAAAAATGTGTTGAGTTGTGGACTTATAAGTGTTCCCCCATATTTCGGAACCGTAATTTAAATATGGCAAAATTAGGGTATTATATATCAACTGCAATGCTTTCTGATTTAAAACTTGTTTAATTTTATTCATTATGCCAATGGTTTTGGAAATCTTAATTTTAAGGTAATTTATGTGTAATTTCCAGTTTATTTTTTCATCT